TACATCAGAATTATAAAAGGCATTAAACGACAGGTATGTGAGAGGAAAGCCAATAAGGTTTATATTCCCAGTGCTTTATTTATTGGAAAATATTCATAAGGTTCATCCTCAGCTGGAAACTAAATGGAAATGGGACCTTGTATTGTTAGGGTTCTCCAGAGAAACACCAATATAATGTATATGTGTGTGTGTATAGAGAGAGAGGGAGATTTTAAGCCATTAACTCACGAATTTGTAGAGATTGGCAAGTCCAAAAGAGGTTGGCACGGCAGGGCAGGGAGGGAGCTGGAGCTGGAGCTGGAGACCCAGGGAAGAGTGGATATTGCTGATTGAAAGCAAAGGCAGTCTGCTGGCAACATTCTGTCTTCCTTGGAGGAGGTCAGTCTTTTTATATGAAAGCCTTCAATTGACTGAGGCCCACCTCATTTTACCTTAATTACCTATTTAAGGATGTAACTCCAAATACAGTCACATTCCTGTGTGCTGGGGCTTAGGACTTCAACATATGAACTGGGGGGGAGGGGAGAGAAGTTCAGCCCATTAAAGGCCTGAATGGGAATTATGATGATCTAGAAATTTAAAAAGAGAGAGAGAGATGGGGAGAAGTTGGAAAAAAACAACAACACAAAAAACACATGTGTTTCTTGGTGTAGTGAGTCTCAAGGTGTGATCCTAGGCCCAGCAGCATCAACAACACCTGGGCAGTTGATAGAGATGCAAATTCTCAGACCCCACCCATGGTCTACTGCACTTGAGAGTGGGGCTCAGCACTGTTTTCCATTGAAATCCAGGTGATTTCAATGCGGGCTGAGGTTTGAGAACAACTCCCTTAGAAGTTGGCTGATTATAAGAACAATGCCACCTGAGAAATTTTCCAACAAAAATAGATCTAAATATTTCTTAATCTCCGGGTTTTCTTTAAACACTTCAGCTGAATCCTATTTTACAAATTGGCCTTGGAATCCATGTTACTCTGATAAATTGTAACTGAAGCCAGAGCTCCAAGGATAAGCATGATAACAAAGGAACTTGGCCTCTGAGTACAGATTTCCGACAGGGTAAAAGCAAAACTGTGGGTGCCCAACAAAACTAATTTATCAAATAACAGAGCAGTTTGCTTGCTGTATCTGGTTGGAGGCCACAATTGTCTTATGCAATTCCCATGAATGGCAAACTGAATTATCATGGTTGAACTTTGTAAAATGCACTCTATTCTCCTTCTTAAAAATGAAAAACTAGAAATAGAACTGCTAAGTTGGTCACTTTTGAGCAGGAATCAAATTTATACTATGCTACACTGGCCCCAAAACACCTTCTAAACCCTCACAACATTGGCTAATACACTGGCCAATGAAGCCGTGGCCATGCCTCTCACCGAGTCCTTTGAGAATCTACCCCGAGCAAAATGATTTAACTCCCCTGTGAGTTATTTCCAAGCCTCCGTGGATGGTCAGATCTACAAATAAGGATACACACAACCAATTTATCTGAAGAAGTCAGCTTTGTCTGAGGCATATATGCTACGTGGAGGTCAGGTGCCTGCCACCAAAGGTAGAGCTTATGTCCAGGAAGCTTTCTGGCCTTGTCTAGCACAGTTCTCAGAGCAAACATAAGATGCTGCATCACATTGCATCATAGCAATAGATCCAGCACTCATAATTACTTATGTAATTTGTGGGGCAAGAATTTCCCAGGCCTTCAGGAAAAAGATTATTTGTGAAGCCTAACTTTTTTATATTGGCTATCAAGAAAAAGGTGTTGAGTGGTCCTTTTAATTGGACTTGGATCTAGATGTAGCCTCTTTGTGACATTCTGTCACAGAATGCAACTGTGAACTTAATAGATTTGGGCAGGAACAATGTGAGTAAGCCTCGGGGCTACTTACAAGCCATAGTATTGAACGGTGTCCAGGTGGGACAGAGAGCATTTCACACTGAGCAATTACACCAGCAGTTCATTGATGGAGAAGTTGCTACTTACCTGGTGCCACAAGAATAAGGACAGTCCCTCGGCTGGAAGCTCATATTCTAGACAAATAGTCGGGTAATCTGGATTCTTTTTTCACTCCTTCATGACTCACTCTTCTCTGGGTTTATCTCTGGAACTCCCCCTGGGGTGACTTATTACCTGTGACTAATCATACTGTGTGGGCCTCTTCCATTAATAATAAGTGAAATCAACTTAAATTTAGCATCAGGAACTATCTTGAAAGAAAAATAGGTTTATCAGAGTAGCCTAAAAAAATAATTCATAGACACAGACAACAGTATGGTGATTACAAGAGGGAAGCGGGGTTGGGGAAGTTGGAGAGGATAAAGGGGGGATAAATGGTGAAGGATGGAGACTTGACTTGGGGTGGTGAACACACAATACAATATACAGATGATGTATTATAGAATTGTACATAAAACCTACATAATTTTATTAACCAATGTCACCCCAGTTAATTCAATGAAAAATGAAATAATATTTTTTTAAAAAAGAGTAGCCTCTTAATGTTTTGAGAAGGAAAAGAGGCCGCGCCACAAATATGGTAAGGGACTTGCTGATGAGCGAGATAGGATCCTGTCACCTGTCATGACTCTAGCACGAGGTAGTGGCACCACCACCTCTCTGTTCCACTTCCCCTCCCTCAGCCCAGTTACCTAGCTGCTCCTTAGAGGTGCTTGCCAACCAGGAGAGAAAGAAAAGCTTGACTCCTGGAATAGTTATCCCTATTTGGGATTGCCACACTCTGAGAGATGCAAATGCTAAGCTCAGAGAAGACCCAGAGTCCTCTTTGTGGACACTGCCATCCCAATTTTTGGCCTCACTTGGAGGTGGGATGCACCGACAGCACAGTCTGTGATTCAGAGGCACATCAAAGCTCCTCTGATGGCCCCTCCTTAAATCAGAAGAGGTTCAGATTGTCTACATTCTCTTCTTGCACATGGCCCATGCTGAGGTTTTCGTTTCATTGCAGAAGTTTGTCCTTCATCCTCTGATCTCGGAGGTACATTGTTACCTTCTTTTCCTTCATCTTTGACCATATCTCCACCCATAGCACCCTCTTCTTCCCAGCTCCCTCCTCCTACAAACAACAGTGTCTCCTGACACTGACCACTGCCAAACGATGTTGCTTCCAGAACAGGTTGAATGGGATATCTCAAACACATGGGGGATGTTCCTGATTTACCTGGAATCAGTTTGGCCTGGGTATTTATACTTGAATTTAAAGCAAATGTAAGTAAAGGCAGTTTTGGGTGAGCCACTCTGAACAGGAGATGGCAGTAGCAACCAAGGAATTTGGGCACCCTTTTCCAGTTCCAACAAAGGACATTCCTATCTGTTGTTTGTCAATTATGGGCATAATTTTGCCTCACCAAAGCCAAAATGGCTAAATAATGTGTCCAAGGTCCCTGTGTGGAGGTCCACAACTATTGAACAACTAAAAATTGCTCCAATTGAACACTGAACAACCAAATGAGCACGTGGAGAGCAGTTACTTAGTCTCACTACAGAGGAAAGGAAGGGCCCTCCAGAAAGTGCAGACACCCCACTTAGACTGGCATTGGAGGGGATTTTGGAAAACACAGGATTTGAGATCTTAAGTCACACACTTAGACTTTGAGGGAGTTATTTAACAGAGGTGACTCCGCCTATGCCCAGATGTGGATTAAGGGGATAAAGGAGTCTTTATAAAAGGTCAAATAATATAACAGCCAGGAAAACTTTGTTAATTATAAGCTCTAAACATACAAGGAAGGCATTTTTGTTGGTTTGCCCCTGCACTTCCAAATGTCCTAGACCACTTTTTTTTTTACTTCCTTTTTCTCTTTCTTTGCCCAGGTAATATGGCCAGAAGCAGTTCGGCCATCCGTAGGTCTATTATTTCTCTGATAATTATAATTTCCCAGCGTTATGGCACACAAATTACTCTGTAATAGCTCTAAATTCTTTGCTTCATCCTGAGTCTACAATTATGCTCTCACCCAGGCTCCTGTCATCTGCTGTCTTGATTTATGAAACCTTCTGTTCTCTGATCTCCTCATTTCTTACCTCTGCCTCCTTTAAAACTTACGAAATGTGGCTGCAAGGTCAAATTTCTCATCGTTACAGCATTACATTCTCAGGTGTGATCATTACTGTCTTAATAAAGCCGGCAGTTCCACAGTAGTCTGTTTAATCCACTAGATAATTGCTCACTATAGAATCCCCATCCTGTCCCTAGCTAGGATTCCAGAACCACTGTGTTGTGGTTTGAAACACCTATTAATTTGGCTCATGCATTAATTAAAGTTTTATTTCTAATCAAGTATATGATGGATCAAGTGCTGCATATAAATAAGGAAACTATAACTAATTATAACCAATTTCATTTGAAGTGAGAACAATAGAACCAGAATGTTTTCTGGTAACTTCCATATACTTACAGACCCTTTGCAAAAGTCAGAAAAATATCTAAAATTTAGAATATTGCTGAATCAGTTTGGTACTATGGTAGAAGATTTAGGACGCATGCAACCACGCAAAATTTTTGATGTAGTTAATAAGGCAAAGACATATTACTTCACTTTGCCCCACTTTTGACCCAGAGTGAATTATATCCACAGTAAAATTAGACCTAACTAGGTTCTGGTACCTGAATGGCCAAGAGGTATAGAAATTTCCAGCCCAGCTTTTTAGTGAGTGGGACATAAGAAGCCCATAATCTAAAGCCAGTCCTTGGTTTTATTATTTATTTTGCTGCCTTGATCATTTTTCTGCACTCATTTGGCTTGAAGGCACAGACATTCCCTGTTGATTATCTCGACTTGGCAGTAGGTTTCTGCTACACATTTTGATTCCTAATATGGTAGTAGGAGAGGGTTTTGTTTGAGTTCCAGCGAGTTTCTCCAGGCTTGTGGAATGCAGTGAGGAAAGAATCCTACAGAGATTAAAACATGAACATTTGCATTGATGAAGAAAAATAAAAGAAAAAAGAGGCTCTCTTTAAAATGTGGGTGTTGTTTTTTTTTCCGTTTCCTCTGGCCACTTTCATTTCTAATAATGTCTTCGAGCTGTGGGAGGGAGAGAGGAATTAATTAATGTTGTTTGTTTAATCATCTATATTTTCATGAAAATTTCAAAGTCATTTTGAAATGCCTGAGAGTTTTTTACAGAAGCAATGCTAACAAAATACACTTTTCATCATCATCAAGGTTTAAATCCTTGAAGCATCCACTCACAGCACTCTGTAAATTAGCCACCTAATGATGACATCTGAGAAAATAAGTTTCATGTCCCCAAAAGAGAGTAATATATCATGCTCTCTACTCAGGATACAAATCAGACTGTTCCTCTTCATTTTTGTTACAGTATGAATTAATGCTAAAGAAACCATGTATTGATTGTTTCAGAGGTCAATACAATTTTTCTCTCGGAGTCATAAATTTGTTCACAGCAATATTTATTTGGTAACAACTTTTAAACAATACGTCCCAGGTGACAAACTTTCTTTTAGTAATGGGTTCATTTCCCCCTGAATAAATTTATAAAAGGCCACATTTGCATTGGTGTAAAATTTTTCATCATTTACATCCATTTACTGTTTCCTTTATATAACAAAGAATTATATTTGGCATCTATTGCCCCCAAATTGGCTGGATCAGCATTTGAGGTTATGTCTATTTAGGCTTATCTGCTGCATCCAAACAATGAAAAAGAAAAAAAAAATCACTAATGAGAGAGTCACCTAGAAAGCCAAGAAATGCAACATGCTAGTGTAGATTTGTGTGAAAGTTTGGTGTTTATAATGCTTCAACTATTTTCTTTTTCTGGGCAACTAATGCTAAGAAGCCCTTCAATAAAAAGTTCTGATCAGTTAGCAACAACCACAAACATAACTAGTCCATACAGTTACATAGGCCTAGGAGCAGCTATAAATACCTGAAAACCCCAGTAACAGAGGTTTAAATGAAACAGAAATGTATGTTTCTATAATATGAAATAGTATGAAGGTAAGCAGTTCAAATATCACATCGGGTCTCCATCTATCACAAGGAACCTAGACTGCTATCATTCTCTTCTGCCATATTCTGCACGTGATGTCCTTGTCATGGACTGTGAGAAGAAAAAAAGGGGGAGGGGGAAAATAAGGGTAAATACGGTAAATCCTTTCATGAAAGTTCTTAAAGTCCCACACGGTCCTTCCACTTACATTTCAATGAACAGAATCTAGTCTTGACCCCTTTACTGCAAGGAAAGCTGGGAAATGTAGTCTTTTATTCTGGGTAGCAATGTGCCAGCTAAAAATTGGGATGCGAAAACTAAGGGAAAGGAGTGAAGTAGGTATTGAAGTAGGCAACACACAGTCTTCACCATAGTTAGGTGCATAGGCTTTTTGACTTGCTGTCATTGTCAGGGTCATACAGTGATTTAGCTTCCCCATGTATATTCATATTTACTTAATTAAATTAAAAGTAGCTTTACTATAAACTATAGAAAATTTGAAAAATCAGACAATTAGAAAACAATCCTATATAATAAGAGAGGAATATGCTAATTAGCCATTACACCCTGAGGCATAAGGACAAGCATGTCAGGAATCAGCAGGAGGGTGGGCCAGTGAGGTACAAGGGCTGCGCCGGAGAGCTACAGGATGGGGCAGGGCAGCAAGCAGATGGTGGTAGGGGGAGCTACAGGAGGGCAGGGCAGCGGGTGGAGAGCTATAGGAGAGCGACAGCGACCTACTGGCGCACAGATTCATGCACAGGGCTACTAGTTATTAATAACCTTAAAATTTACTGCTCAGAAATAACCAGGGCTTTTTTGTTCTCTTTTTGGTACATAATTCGAGGTCTTTCTTTATGCACACATGTATATTTCTATACTTTCCATTATAAAGTTGGAATATATAAAGCATTCAATTTTTCACCTTTTTAAACAACACAATAGTATGAACATTTCTCTGCATCAATAATCTTTCAACATTGTTTTAAATGACTATAGATTATTTCATATACCCATACCATAATTTATTTAACCAATGTCCAATTATTGAACACTTTAGTCATTTCAAATTTTTCTGTATTATAAACCACACTGCAATTAACATCTTTGTCACCAATCTTTGCTCATATCCTGTTACCTTCCTTGAAAGGTAGATTCTCTGATCAAAGAATATGCGTATCTTACAGCCAAGTTCCTCTCCAGAAAGACTGTTAGCATTTTATTTTTTAAAAATATATTTTTATTGATTTTTTACAGAGAGGAAGGGAGAGGGATAGAGAGTTAGAAACATCGATGAGAGAGAAACATCGACCAGCTGCCTCCTGCACACCTCCTACTGGGGATGTGCCTGCAACCAAGGTACATGCCCTTGACCGGAATCGAACCTGGGACCTCAACATTGTTTTAAATGACTATAGATTATTTCATATACCCATACCATAATTTATTTAACCAATGTCCAATTATTGAACACTTTAGTCATTTCAAATTTTTCTGTATTATAAACCACACTGCAATTAACATCTTTGTCACCAATCTTTGCTCATATCCTGTTACCTTCCTTGAAAGGTAGATTCTCTGATCAAAGAATATGCGTATCTTACAGCCAAGTTCCTCTCCAGAAAGACTGTTAGCATTTTATTTTTTAAAAATATATTTTTATTGATTTTTTACAGAGAGGAAGGGAGAGGGATAGAGAGTTAGAAACATCGATGAGAGAGAAACATCGACCAGCTGCCTCCTGCACACCTCCTACTGGGGATGTGCCTGCAACCAAGGTACATGCCCTTGACCGGAATCGAACCTGGGACCCTTCAGTCCGCAGGCTGACACTCTATCCACCGAGCTAAACCGGTTTTGGCAAGACTGCTAGCATTTTACATTGTTACCTTCCCATCTGAGTATATGACGGTACCTTTTGACCAACAATGAATGTTATATGCTTTTTTTAAGTCTTTGTCAATTTGATAGGCCAAAGTGTGGAGTCTCAATTTATTTGTATTTGTTTAATTACTATTGAAGTTGAACACTTCTCCCTGCCTTAGATGTAGCCTTCTTTACTATTTTGAAAAGATATGACAGGAGAGAGAGAAAGAGGTTCAAGGGCTCATATGTGGAATATTAACTTCAGCCAGGAAGGAACCAGTTGTTAGGTAAGTCATGGCTGCTGATGTGTGACCGGCAACATAAAAGAGGAGGTTACCCTTTCATTTCTCATGGCACTCAAGGAAGATGCCACCGGATCACTTCAAGTAAGGTACCTCCATTTGTTGCTTCGTTGTTTCAGAAAGAAGCTACCACAATCTTGGCTCGAGTTGTGTTGAGCTTGAAGGACAATGCTTCGTATGTGATTTATGTGATTTCCCTCAAGTGACTGTAGAGCTCTTGCCTCATCAGAGTGGCAACATATTTAGAGGGACTCAAATTTAATTCAGGTAGTCAGTGAAGCACAAGATCTATCTACCCAACTAGGGTATCTTCTATCTAAATTTGTAACTGAGCTGAAAACAACTTTGTGCCTTTAAATACCTGACCTATGTGTCACATATCACTTCATCTGAAGCCAGGATGACATACAGCAAGTATCCAGATCAGTTTTCCAGTCAAATAGCCTTTTGTATCATTTTCTGATGTAGAGAACTTCAAATACATTAGGCGCATACTATCTGTGAATGGATATGATATATTTCCTTGCTGTGTGTTGTATAAATTTCTTTGGAGTAGTTTACCTCTGTAACTTTTTAATCCTTTCCTTATGCCCAAAGGCCAATTAGTAAATCAAGAGTTAATATAAGAGCCCTGACCAGTTTGGCTCAGTGGCTAGAGCATTGGCCTGTGGACTGAAGGGTCCCAGGTTCGATTCCGGTCAAGGGCATGTACCTTGGTTGCGGGCACATCCCCAGTAGGGGGTGTGCAGGAGGCAGCTGATCAATGTTTCTCTCTCATGGATGTTTCTAACTCTCTATCCCTCTCCCTTCCTCTCTGTAAAAAATCAATAAAATATATATATTTTTTAAAAAGAGTTAATATAAGAGATAGTTTGAACACTCCAGGATAATTTCCAATTAGACCATCAGGACAAACCTTCAGATAACTGAGTGCCTAAATACTAAGGTGCAAATAAAAATAGGAAGAATAAGGATAAAGTTCATCCTCTACCAGCAAAATAAAAAATTAAACACTGAACCACAACTATCTCTTTTTCTCTGTAGGCCTAAAAATTATTTTCCATATATGGTAGAAAGGCAAATATGCATTGTTTACAATTTAGGTCAAGTCTTGTACAGTGTCTCGCATGGAGCACACCCCAATGGAAATTTAGTGGGCAATAACACGGAACAGTACAAGCACATAGGAATGTAAGACACCATTGGGGTTTGCACTTACTCCAACTGTCTTGCGGTAGTCTTTTTTTCTCCCTCTGTGGGAGAAGCTATTTAGAGTCAAGCATCATTAAATCAGAATGCAAAGGAAGGAGAAAATGAATATGGGTTAATTGCATTCTGGATGCCACTGAACCACACACAGTTGGTTCAAATTATTATTGTGGTATAAAAATTCATTGTGCATTCCAGGAGACAAATAATTTGGTGAAACTAGAGTATGGGTGTATACCAGGAAGTGGCCTCAGCTGAGAATTCTGAGTGTGTGTGTGTGTGTGTGTGTGTGTGTGTGTGTGTTGGCAGGGTGAGGACATATATAGATCCTTATAGTTTATGCTAAGAAGTTGGGATTTTGTCCTGAAGCAGAAATTTCCCAGGAGACTTGCAGCCTCATTATATGCAATTTGGCACATTCTGTGTGATGTTCTCCCCTTTGCTGCAATAAGAAGCTCTATACCTGTAATCTTGGTAGAGAAGTAAAGCCTTTATTCCTTATCAGCAGATCTACAGGGTAAGCAAAGGGAACACTATTATGGGAGCAGCTGTAATTGAGCTGAAGACCTCTTCCTGTCATCAACTGCCAAGAGATAAAAGGAATACAATCCAATATAGGGCAGAGAGTCACCAACGTCAAGCAATTAATTCTTTGTAATAGGAGTGGAAAGAAGGTAGAGAGGCCAATGAGA